GCCCAGAAATCAGAGTTTTAAAAAGATTCCCAGGTGATTCTAATGTGCAGCCAAGGTGGAGAACCACTGACTTAGAGCTTTTACATCTAAGTTCAGAGATGACAACGTGAATACTTTTTGGGGAGAACACAAAACATTTGAATTAATTTAAACTACCTAGGCTCTGTTTAGTTGATTCACAAGTAGATTACTAATTCCGAAAATGCAAAAAAAAAAAAAAAAATGATCAGGCTTCCAGTGTGCATTTAAAGATACATAACCCCTGAGAGAGAAATTAGTTGACCTAAAATCAAGAGCAGTCAATATGTGTAATAGTGCATTATAAACGCCACCAAAGTAAACAGAGTTTAAGGGTAAGCCATGTGCTCTTAATCCAGGATCACAAGGCCACAAGCCCTGAAGTCAAGGAAGAGTGCTTAAAGCGGGAATGTGTATTTATACGTAGGAAAGTCTATTTCACCCTGTACCATCTCTGCTTTCTGCAAGCTAGTGTGTGAGCTGGGAATAATGCGGGGAGAGAAGGTGTATCTAAAGTAGAGACCACGGCCGGCCGGAGTGGGACAGGGTGCACCAGGCTGCAGTCTCTCTCCCCGCACCTTCCCGGGCACTTATTGCCAAGGCGGGTCCATCAACCCCAGCGCAGGGACCAGTGGGGGTGGGGAGAGCAGGGGATGCGCGAGGAAGGGCAGGAAAAGTAGACTAACTCTCTCTCACCACCTCCAGCCTGAGGGCCTCGCCAGAGACCTGCGAGCTAGCACCACCCCAAAGCCAACCACCACCTGGGGCCCCCGCTCCGAACACCCGGGTCGGAAACCTCCAGGTGAGAGACGCATGCGCACTGGCCCCCCCGCGCCGCACACTGCGGCACCAGCTCCCTCGTCCCCCGCCGCCTCCCAGACGGCGGCAGGCCCCGCGCCGCCTCCCGCCGCCTCACGCAGGAGCAAGGCCTCGGAACCCCGCAGCCGCGGGCGCCTCCTCCTGGGCCCCGGACGAGGGCATCACCTGGCTCCCAGTCTTCGGGATCACACCTCCCGTGGACTTGCAAACGCCGCAAACCTGGAAATGTTTCTTCAAATCGGGGAGCCGCCGGCGCCCTCCGAACTTGCTTCAGTTTAAGCTCACCGCCTTCCTGGTTCCAGCGCCAGGCAGCGGCAGCCGAGCTTCCGAATGCATCGATGGAGGCGACCAGGCGCTAGGAGTGCCGAGGGAATGGATCGTCACGCCGCCAATTTTTTGTTTGGTGTTGGCTTTGCTGGCTTGTTTGATTATTTGATTGCCTTATAACCGAAAAACAATAAAGGTGGGGACTGAAGCGTGTAATTGCCTTTGTAATCGTCCTTATCGCCACAGATAATCAGTAAACAAGTCTGCATCATAGGAAGTTAGGTTTAAGACACAGGTAGCAAAATTGGTTATCTCTAGCTGGGGGAGGAGGAAACTCGCCCAACAATAATAAATCATGGGAGTGTGTCTGCATAGAATGGTGTGTGATTAAAATGCAATGATTTATTTGCAAAAGTGCATTAAAAGTCGGTGTTTCTTCTGCCCTGAAGGTGAAGGCACTCACAGGTTGGTTGCAAATTAGTTTCTCGCATTAAAGGAACCGGTTATTAGAGGACTGGGGGAAGGCTGCCCTAGGCAAGAAAAGGAGATTTCTTCTGAGAGAGAAATTGTTTAGGTGTTTGTTGTTATTTACATCAATAAACATTAACGCGATTAAGCATTTTCTGTAACTCATACTACATTAATTATCTGGCCTTGCATAAACCTCATTTTTCCTTGTTTGCTATAAGTACGAAAAGATATGGAGATAAATAAACTGTTGGCCTTGGTTTGGGTCAACTGTGAGAACCAACTTGTTCAGAATCGCTAGATACCCAAACCACAGTTTTCTGCAGATATTTGAGAGGTGAAAATCAGCTCCAGAAATATATTTGTCATAAATGACTGTACCTTAAATAACCAGTTTGAGGGGGACCGTTTTAAAACTAACTACCACACTACATGTTTATTTTATATAATTCACTAGCTGGGGGGGACTCGGCGTCCTGAATTTTATTGGAACTTGTATACCTGTCTGCAGGCTGTTAACTGAGCTTTACTATCAATTTTTTTTTTACCAAAACTGTATTTTGAAATACCCTGTTTCCAGAAAACATTTACTATTTAATAAAACAACCTCATTAGAACTTCATGAGCATTTATTAGCATATCATTTCAAAACCTTGGTGTGGTTTTTTTTAAGTAGGTTTCCCTTAGGCCAGTAGAATCCGTGATCAGACACTGCAGATCTCTCATAACTCTATCAACACCACTATTCCTAAATATACAAAGAGCCGGGAAAATCTATTTGGTGTGAATCACATCAATTGTCTGAACCTTCTCTGATTACCTTTAAAATGGTCATCTTTCCCTCCAGCTCAGTAGATGGAATTTGAGATCAGACCTAGAAATCATGGCAAAAAAAAAAAAAAGTAGCTGGTGAGTGTCTTGATCCCTTACCAGACTTCTAAAGTGGTCATTTTGAAGCTATTTGTGAATAGTATTTAACACCTCAGTTTGGGAGCTCTTTCTGTTCACTCTGCTCAATAACCTTAAAAACAGATTTTCTTAAAGGATTAAAGTTTTATGCTTATTCCCCTCTCACAATATCAGGACTAAAGTGATTACATTGTAAAGCCATGTTCCTAAATTCATATAACTTTGGAAAGTGTACTTTAGTCTCTTTTGTAGCATAATAAAATAAAAGCAAGCACTAATATAATTAATTAATACCTAAGAGTTATTGCACTGGAAACATAAAGATCTTAATTATTTCTCCTAAAAGTAGCAATAAGTGAAATGTTTTAAGAAGAACAAAATATAACTTCAGCATTCAAGAGAAAACAAGGCAAATACTTCTTAGAAGTATGATTTCCATCTCAAGTTTGCCAACTGTGAACATTTTAATCTGAAGAGTAGTATAATATGACAGATATGTATAGCCTCTATTTACATATATCTAGAAACACTAATATATAGTTTTAATTGTGTTCTTTTCCTACAAATGTTTCAGGTTGCTTTGTTGGAACGTCCCAAATTACCTGTTAACTTTGTGCTGAGGCTTTTAACCAATGGATGGAAGATAAACATATCAAAGTTTTTGTAATTGCTTTATTTTTATTTTTTACTAGGAGTATTAGATCTAAGAAAATGAACCAAGTTACCTTTCACATCAGAAAGCCTGCATTCATTGTTTATTAACACTCAGACTCTTTGAAAATGTCCCCAAAGCTACACTTGAAGAAGTATATTTGTTTACAAACTCAAATAATATAACTTTCCATATGTAAATATTCTTATGTGAGATACATTTGTGGCCACACTTCTCACAGCCAGCTCAATACAGACAAATGACTCAGGAATATAGACATTCCTTCCACATAACTGTTTCGATGAAAACAGTCCAGGGAGAGAGCGAGAGACTTTTCTCCCGGGGAACATCGCTTTTTTAATAGTCCACAACAAATAAAATGAAGAGGGGCACGAACTTAACATCCACTGATTTTTTTTTTTTAATTCAAAGAAGGGTAATCACTTGCTTTTCAAAAATCAGGAAATCAACTAGAATGTTTTCCAGGTTGCCAAAGAAGAGCTCTTGCAGTTCATGTCCAGAGCGGCCCGGACACAGGGAGTTAGTGACAAGGGAGCTGGGGTGAGGGTCCCGAAACCTCCCAGAGGGAACGAAGTCTAACTGTCCTCGGTCGGGCGCTAAGGAAACACTTTCATATGGAATCTGTCAGGGAACAGCTGCTCGGGAAATGTGTTAAATTGACCGGCCCTTCCAGCGTGGCTGTCGATGGAGGAGTCGGCTTGGGCTCCGGGACGCCAGCAGCGGGGTAAATCACAAATTCCCCAGGGCCGGGCGGCTGGTGACGACCCCGCGCAGCTCCGGCTGCGGGCCGGGAGGCCGTTGGGGAGGCTGCAGAGGACCCTGGGCAGGGTGGGCGGTAAAGCCAGCATGCCGGGCTGCGAGGTGTAGGTGGGGTCGGGTCGGCAGCGGGGATGTCGACTTGCAACATCGGGTCAGGAGAACGGAACTGGGTTGCGGGGCGCCTGGCGCAGGAGCAGGGCAGGGGTGCGGGGCAGCCCTGAAGCCGGGCGGGCACGCGGGGTCTGCCGCGGAGTCGGGATCCCGGACTCCCTCCGGCAGCCGCGCACTTGTCAGTTTCCTTTTGGCCACGCCCCGGCGGAGTAGGTCCAGCTCCCTGGTGTTTAACTAAGTCTTGACACCGACGCAAAATCCACGCCTAATTAAATTAATTAGGGATTCTTGTCAATCCTGGATTAATGGCCAAGTGCGCAGGCGGCCGAGGCTCTCGGAAAACCCGGACGGCCTGGGACCTGCCTCCTCTTCCCGCCCCTTCCCGTCCCCCTTCGCTGCCCTCCCACTCCAGACCCAGCCTGCTCGGACTCTAGTTTAATCTCTTCTTCTCTCTC